TTACCTTCATAACCTAATCTAAGTCGCCAGCAACTTCATGATATAATTATATCATAAAGTTGCTGGCGATTGCATTTAAAGAAAAATTTTTATATGTTTTTATATGTTTAAAATTAAATAAAAATATGTATTTAAAGAGAAAATATATAATATGTGATTTAGAGAAAATGCAAATAGAGAAAGTAGATTTTAATAAGATGATTTAACAAACTAAATTTATAATTATTAGATAATAAGTTATTTTTAAAAATAAAAATTAAAAATTTGATATATATTAATAATTATTAATTTTAAAATTTAAAAAATATTACTATTAATATATTTAATACAAATCTAATAATTTTATTATATTTATTAAATATTAAAATATTATAATTTTTTTATATAATACCTTTATACAATATTATTAAAAATAATATATAAAATTATAAATTACAAAATAAAAAGTATAAAAATTTCTATTTAATTAAGAAAACAAAACTAAATTAAAATTAATCTTATACTATTTCAGATTAATCTATCATAAATTAATTTAAAATAGACTTAACTATCTTATACAAGAGGCTTAGTTACTACTAATCCAAAATTTGACATATTTAAAGAAAGAAATAAAAAAAAGAAGAATTCTTAGAAAATTTTAACCAATTTTGTATTCAAGACAAGTCTTGGAAAATTTTAACCAATTTTGTATTCAATACAAGTCTTTAAAGAATACAATTAATGTTTTACAGTAATGTAAGCGACAAGCTCCCAAAAGGTGAACCTTCATTTAATGCGTCATATTACTACCTCCAGTGATACCACTACTACTATTATTATCTGCAAAACTAAACCCCTTTTCCATACATGGAATAATTTTATTCAGGACCGATCTTCAAACAACAACATAGTACATTTGAGTTGGAGACCACTCTTCACTTTTCCTCTTTTTTGATTAAAATGGCCTTTGATATTTGAGCTTCTGTGTCGAACCGAACCGAGCTTAACTTCGGCCCACAGAGCATAATAATATTTATAATCTTATTATTGTAAATTACAGAAAGAATTTTCTTCTCGGAGATAAGACTATGTGACACTAATAAATAATGCTTTTATTCACCAATAATAGTATAAATCGTCATTTAAAACCAACATTACATAATTAAAAGATTATTAATTTAGAATCATTGCGCCGAACTCCGAATTTATATAAAAAAAAATAAATGAGGTTCGGTGAAACTTTCCTAAAAAATAATTATTGAGTCACAAAAACAACTTTGTATAACATTTTCTTTGTGTGAAAGGTCATCCCTTATTCGAAAATAATAACAGAGATAAAGGGATTCCGCAGTTGACTTACCATAATTGGATTTTATCCGTTTTTTATATTGTGTGAATGATTGTGTAATTGTGTAATGAGGAGTTACCTGGAATACTCTATAAAAAGGGGGCTTTACGTCTCTTCCTCCAAAAATTTTATTTCCAAAAAATTTTTTTTACATTTTATACAAAACCGAATAAAACTTTTTTTATTTTTCTGACAAAAAAAAAAAAATATTTCAACATGCAAATCTTTGTTAAAACTCTTACCGGAAAGACCATAACCCTTGAAGTTGAGTCGTCAGACACTATCGACCAAGTTAAAGCTAAAATTCAAGACAAAGAAGGAATCCCTCCGGACCAGCAACGTCTCATCTTCGCTGGAAAACAGCTTGAGGACGGTCGTACCCTCTCCGATTACAATATTCAGAAAGAATCTACCCTTCACCTTGTTCTTCGTCTTCGCGGAGGAATGCAAATTTTTGTAAAGACACTTACCGGTAAAACAATCACCTTGGAGGTCGAGTCTTCAGATACCATTGATCAAGTCAAAACCAAAATTCAGGATAAAGAAGGAATCCCCCC